CTGTCTGTCTGTCTATGTGTGTGTGTCGACGCTTATTCTGGCACTACAGGCTACGAGGCGGCCAATTAGCGATACCAGCGGCACATAATAGGCCTACTTTCTCAGAAACATGCATTGCCCATTTCCTGTCTCTATTTGTTTGCAGGCTTTTTTTCCGGCATAAAGCTCAACATCAAACTTTTGGTTAAGTAGTCGAAAAGTAGGTCATTTGCAACATCATTCACTCAATTGTGCAGCACCATTTTCGCTGCATTTTGTGTCTAGGGCTTGTAGCACGGACAGATTGAACGAAAATTTAACAAAGTAAAACAATTGTGTATCGAATATCACAATTTGCCTTTGTTATGGTAGCTACAGAGGTTACGTCAATTTGTTTGTTGCTATTCATAGTCAAACTCTAGATATTTTCAAATCTTCTGTTCAAATTTTTGGTTTTGCGCAGCAGTGTAGTGGTTCTTCCAGTCACCAATGATCCCCTTCCTGAGAAATGTAATAGAAATATATGCTCCTTCTTTCTTTCTGTGGTTTACTGTTGCATTTGTTGACATACTCTGGAATGAAGACTTTTCCACAACTGTTTTCACAAGCTCTAACACCTATGAACTCGCCTATGGCCTTTACAGTCTTATGTGGATCTTTCTTGAGGTCTTCGTACTTGAGGAACAATAATGTTTGGCTCATCTCGGTGTGCCCACCATCCTAGAACGTGACTCAGCCAGCCTCCGTACATGCCGGTTATCTATCTCCTTCCTCTGACAGGTCACCCTCCTCAATTATTCCTGGCTATGCTTAGAAAATCAGCAAAAAACGCTTCCCAAGGAAGTGTAGTGTTGCGTCTTTCTGGAATTTCGATATTTGCCACTTAGCGAAGTGCCAGAGAGAAACGCTCTTGTCCTTTGGATTTCGGGCGATATAAATATACTTGATGTTGGTCGTGTGAGTATATACTGCATCCATGTCGTGCCGGATCTCGGGTAACTGGAGAGAATAACATCGTCAGGTAGCAGTGGATAGACCTTCAGTTCTTGCCAAGTCTCGGGCTCATGCAAGGGATGAGAACTCCCTCGGTTAGTTGAAAAAGGTCAACCGTGTCGGACATTCTTTTCCGAAATCTACTAAACTGCGATCGATGCTGCCGAAGGCCGGATGGCAGCATTATGCATTTTGGTTTCAGGTGTGTTATGTACCATAGATGATGTATATAGTAAATTTCATCTTATGTTGCAGGTTATTATGAAGTACGTTCAACATTATGGAGTGTATTTTTCCAGATAATGTACTCTGTGCTCCATTATGTGGTGAATTGCAGATTGTGTCGTTCATAAGTGCACCATCACACTCAATGAATGTGGGTGTGGCTGCTCCTTTAACCTTGACCTTAGGACCTGTAACTGCCTATGATATGGATTTGCAGTGGTGCATTGCTACTCTTGGAAGGTTTGTTAGAGACCTATCAAAAGGTCATGATGAACTTGATGCCCACATTTGCAGCTGGTTGCTCTCGAGGTTTTAGGTAGCCTTCCCACCCGAATAACATCCGAAACCACATAATGGAAATACACATAATGGTAATACACTCCATAATGTAGAACAAGCAACATCAAAGGAAATTCACTATATCATCTATGGAAATGACTGCTACATAATGCACTCTATGCCACATAAGTTGTAAAACATCATTTTGGCACTGATCACCCCTTATACGCCTGCAGTCCGTGGAGTTTTGTTAGAGGCATCACACACTGAAGAGTGGTTCGAAGATCGATTACAAAAAATATATGAAAAGTACTAAACTAAAATATTAGGGTCGAGAGTCAGGCCTCCCAGCAGGTAGTACATAAGCAGAGGAGGCCACCAGCAGAGTAAGGCAAGAAGAGTCAGACGCATCTTCCCTCTCTCAGTGTTTTAGTGAGCTTCTTAATTGGCAGTTTTCTTGACAAAAGTTGCAGCTTTTTGCGTGTGAATTTGGGAGAAGATGCTGCGGTTTTAAAGGCTACGGCCATTAAGAGGAACACTCCAAACTTTTCTGGAGGGTAGTGCCCAAATGGGCACTTTGAATACAAAGCCCTACCCTTGAGTCACTTATTTGTGCTTTTGACCATGTAGCTATAGTAGTATTGCAGAAAAGCACCCCCACTGGAGAAGTTACCAAAGCAACAACAGTGCATAGAGACTCAGAAAGGATGGCCAAATGGGCACTTTCACGACTAATGCCCTCCCCTGGAGTCACTTCCCTACATTTTCGTGTTTGCCCAACATTGTCATAGAGCAAGCTAGCTATATACTTCGCTTTGTTCGTTCACAACATGGCTCGATCTCAAGCACTCATGTTGTAGATTACAGTATACTGTTAGGCAAAGATGTGCCTCCACGTGTTGAAAGTGTAAATGCGATGTGAAAAAACGTGTATATTTAACCTTTATTGTTGCGCAAGCATTCTAAAAGGTTGGGGAGCACTTGCACACTCTTTTTCATTATCACTTTAGACAGATGCAAACATTGTACTACCTCATTAGGTCTTTGATCTATGTATATAGCTATGTGCCACATTATGTGGTACAACTTTAGTTTTAATGCAGTTCAGTGTCAATGCTGGATTCAATGCATATTGCAGGGGTGTTGGGGTTTTGACCACCGATGAAGTCTACCCACTCACCCAGCATCTAGCTACACATAAACATGCTCCAAACAAAATGAAAAGCACTAAAGTCCAAACCCTCGGCAGAGACGCGCGTGCTCACTAGAGAAGGGTTCCATGTCAAATCAAAGGTGAGGAAGACCGCCTATATACACAGTCTTCCGTGAAAAGCTGCAGACGAAGTAAGCGTGCTACCAAGTGAGGCACATCTTTTGCTGTGCATCTGCCATGTTTTAGCTCAACAATAGGCTGGAACGGGATTAGAATATCTTGCGCATGCGCGAACAGATTAAGCCAGGCATGAAACGCGCGCGCGGAAGTACGCGCAAGTGATGTACTGCTAATGATGGGCTGGGCTATTTTACCTATCCTACTAGGTCGCTGAGAGCCGGTAACGGGCCAGCTACACTACTAGATATCATGCGAGAGTCGATACACGCCCCTCGTTGCAACCTCTACAGAGCAAGCGCAGACTGTCAAGTATCCCGATTTCACTTACTCTATCCCGTTTCCCGACGCTCCCCTAAGCGGGGTATGAAAAATCCCGCGTTTGAGGCGCGCGGCAAAAATGGCGACCTACACTTGATGAAGCTGGTCCTGTCAAGAAGAAGATGAAGAATTTCTCCAATAAACTTACTACTCTACGTTACATATGTATTATAAGTAGCCAAAAATTCTGGGGTTTACGACAGGATCCCTGCGAGGCACAGAAACCAACTTGGACAGTATGCAAGCGTATCTCGGCGCCAGAGAGCGCGCATCTCGAGGTAAGCCCGTGCTAATTTCCATATTGGCTAGTTTTCGCGCGGTAACTCCAGAACGCAGCAGAGAAAACCCCAAATATTTTTGACGTTAATCCGACGCCGAACACGTGGTACTTATCGTTTGTGTAGCGACTAATTGCTCGTGAAGGGAGATAGCTCGTGGACAGACATACACGACCAGTACAGCTGCCTGCCAGGCCGTTGGCATCACTTTCATCCCCCTCGCCATAGAGTCCCTAGGCGGCGTGAGTGACATGGCTGCTGAAACGTTCTCCAGCCTAGACCGTCTTTTGGGCCAGCGTCTGGGGATCTCTCCAGTTGAATTGACTCGTCATCTCTACCAAAGGCTCCGCAATCTCCCTCTGGATGAGGTAACGCATCTGCCAGGATCCACCGTTGTCCACAACTCGCTCCCTCTTTAGATGGTGTAATTTGACTTGCTTGTTCGTGCTCTTTTGTGTTTCTTATTTTTTGGTTTTGTTTTTTTGTCCTTATTTGTTTTTGTCCCTTATCCTATAGAATGCCGGTTCTTACTTTTCTTTTTTCCCCTTTGTTTTTGGTGCATCCACTTGGTTTTCACGCCGTAACGAAGTAGTTTCATAGAAAACCCCACATATTTTTGACGTTTATCCGACGCTGAATACGTGGTATCGCTTGTGGAGCGATTGATTGCTCGTGCGGTGAAGGGAGATATCTCGCGGGCAGACAGCACACGGTAACCATAGCTGCGCATGTGCGCCGAGAGTTAACCAGTACAATTTATCTGCGTATTACGCATGCACGGTACCGCTAATTAATGGGCTGGGCTATGAATATATATATTTGAGTTTACTCGTGGTCTCCACGTGACGTCTACACGCTAGTTGGTCGCGGAGAGTCTGACATGGGCTAGCTGCACTATAAGGCGGGAGTCGATACACGGCCTTCCGCAACCTCCGCAAGGTACAAAGAGCAAGCGGATATGTCGAGATAAGCTGGTGCGATTTGCATATTGGCCTTTTCGCTTGTTTTCACGGCTTATCTCTCGGACGCAGTTGTTTCAGGAAGATCGGCATTTTTTTTTCAGGTTCGCGTAGTTCTGAAGACGTTGGTATCGCTCATGGGCCGCCTCGTAGCCAGTAGTGCGAGAATAGCTGCTGACAGACGGACAAACAGACAGACAGACTGACAGACACAGACCAAGTACTGTAACCCTCGCTGCGCGCCGAGGGTTAAAAGCCTCGCTCCCAATTAATTATTAATTGATTGGTCTTACTGCGCACTAAGAGAGCCATCGAGCGGTGTGTCTCATTCTGTCTATCAACTAGCTTAAGATTGCCATGAAGGTAACATGATATCCAAAATATTTTAATTGATTGCTCCTGCAGTTGCGAAACTATTACACAAATTGCAATCACACTTGACTATGGAAATTGTTAATTTGTCGGCTTGTCACAGAGTTGGGTAGGAAGCATCAGTAGCTATTCCACACTGGTTGTATTTGTTTCTAGCCATCATTATGTAGCCACTGGATCCCCAATTCTCTCCCCAGCTGTTCAGGACAGAGAGACAGGAGCTCAATAACACAGAGGCCGAGTTATTCTGAGTTTAGGTCTTTATTATGCTTTTGGAATACCTAATACTTTAATAGTATTTTTTTGCAATATATAATTATTAGTAATGGATAAAGCATAGAGAATAATTATGAGACAAGATACTAATACTTGCCTGTTCTTTACAAGGTAGTAATCAACGCCATTGTAGGTTCCATAGCCAGTGACAAGCATTGCATGAGTCAAGTATGAACTGGAGCACTGGGTGGAACTGTACACCCCCCCTGAATAATACTGCAAACATTTGAACAGGTACACAAAAAGTTTCAAAATGTGGCTTGACTCACTTTGAAGGCATTGTTGCTGGCGTCTACAGCCACTGAAAGTGGTCCAATATAGGCCAGTGCCATCTGGAGGTCGTCCTCACTTCCACTGCTTATGCAAACACACCCTGACATCTGAGCTCCGTTATCGTCTTGTGAATAGCGGCAAGAATATTGCTGAAAGAATTAGATACACACGTTTTATTTATAATATTCATCGGAAGTATTCGGTAGGTGCCTTTGAAATCTCAAAACTTTACACAGTGTCTTGGTCATTGCACTGGCGGAGCTACATTTCTCCCTTGAGAGAGTGGCAAAGCCACGCTACCACACATTCGAGAAGTCCTCTATGGATTATCTACAAGTGTAGGCCCTCTCTTACATCAAAATGGCCTTGCTCCATAATTACCTCACAATTTTCTAGGATCGAGACCTAGGACCGATTAGCTAAGAAATATTTTTTACTTGGATGTTGTCTGGGCACCGGAGCTTTCTCCTGATATTTATTTCAACAGTAACAGCTAAGTATATTTCTTGTTTAAATCTATCGCTCCACTCAAGTAACTCGAAAGGTGAGAATGAGCCTCTGGTTCATTAAAACTCTTCTGAACAACCCATGTTATCTAAAAAAAACCTTACACTCTCTGAGTATGGATAGGAATCAGATGAATCAATCCCATCATTGGCAACAATGTACTGAAAAGCATTGTACATATTGCCACCTCGGCATCCATAGTTTCCATAAGGCACTGTAAGGATAAAGATAGGAGCTGCTTCGTGGACAACAATAAAAAATTAATGAGAATCATTTCAAAACGCAAAACGGCTTATGTATTGAACATCTCATAGATAAGTGTCGTTTTATTTAGTTAATTAAGATAAGAAACTATGTATGTATGGTATGTATGAATTTCACATTGGATATACTTGCCTGAACAGTCAATAATGTTCTGTTCACTGAGAGTGACAAGGTTGCCAAATGCCAAAGCCCAAGCTCCTTCTAGTGCTCCCACAGCACTGAATGCATAGCTGGCGCCACAGTTACCCTGAATCAAAAGATTGTGGTTTATGCCATCATTCGACCAGTTGCCTACAACACATTGTTCTTTGCATATTCGCTGTAGCTGTCAGCAGTGAAAAGGTTGCATCCGGTCACAAATGGAGGCTTCATTACACTGATTACCTGAGTCTTGATTCCAGTTACAGCATTGCTGGTTCTCCAGTCCACAGTGTCAGGAATATCAGCAGAGTACTGACTAGCATCAAAGACCTTTGTGTAGTTTCCATGATCAATGTCTTGTCTGTATGTCAGGTACATCTCGTTGAACTCTTTGTCAGTCTGAAAAAAAACAGTACAAGAAAAACTTACCACAACTGCACAATGTACTAATAATAGTTTGCATTAGAGAAATTACAGAAAAAATTCAGTACAACCACTAACTCACCATATCCCCAAAGTGGTTCATGGCAAGTGTGAACCCAAAGATGTGGGAGTTTTTGTTGTGGCCATTAATGTATTCCCTGTTAGTGAGCCACAGCAGATGACGGTCCAACTCCTCTCGTTGGGTATTGTAACTCTTGCCGTGCTTGGACTTCCACAGCTGCCACTCCTCAGGGTACTGGAGGTTTATCTGCGTTGCAGCAACTGCTGCTGCCAGCAGAACTGAGAGTAACATGAAACTTTTCATAATTCCACAACACTACTGGAAGTCAGTATAGAAACAGGTTAGCAGTGTGTTCTGAGTAGCTAAGAGGTCGCTCTCTTTTATAGCACAGTTTTGTTGTCCTGGCCACCTCTTCATGGGAATGGTATGTTGGCAAGCATGGGGTCCTTTCACACTGGGTAATGGAGTCTGCTGTGCCTTGTCCTGTTCATATCAGACTGGCAAATTGCCCACTCATTGTCAACGTATGTTCTGGCTCAATCCAATCTTTGTAGGAGGGCAACATGCCTTTAAAGCCACTGATCATAGGATAAGCACAAAACTATTGGCGGTTCATATCAATGACCAACACCAGCTGTTAGTAGAAATGGAGGGATTGACACATAAATTATAACTTTTGGCATTACAAAAGAAGTATAATAATTATGTGTAAGTGTTATAGAAAAGTGTGTCACTGTCATATTATAATTATGTCAAACTTCCTTATTACAGCTGCCCGGGCTTCCCTCCTCAAAACTTTCGCAGGCTGCTGGGAAGTGATAGCTAGCTAGACTGGTAACAAATTGGCTGTTTCATGGGCTTTTCCTTGTGAACACACAATGCCCAAGGGTCGCAATGCGGCACTTGGGGCCAGGCAACAAAAGACTCTAGGCAGGTCAACTCTTGTCCTCGTCTCTATTAGTAATTAAAATTACATGTGACCTGTTTACAGGCAAGAGCAGTAAATTTCCATCTGTTAGCAAACACCTTGAGGACCCTGAAAGTGAGAAATGACACTATACTGTACATTGAGTTGGGGCATTTCACAATGTGTTGCTTGGGTGACCTGAATAAGGATGACACGAAGTGTGTATTACCTTTCACTCTCTTTGTCATGGTATATGCACCATATCGCTGTACTTCAACACTTCCTTTGTACAGTAAATATCTGCACTGGCACATGATGTAGGGCTACACTAATGCCTTGGTTGTGGAGTCTATCCCTTTTCATTATATTTTCCGCTGTGTGTAAGTCAGAGTGATGCACCTTCACTCAAACTGAACACTGGTATATACAGATATGGTAGCTATGACTGACTTCACCCTGCATTTACACACATTCAAAGGCATTCAGCAATAGACCCAGTGCATGTATCCATGAGTTGTACATACCCTGTTTTCGATGCATTCATCTGGTCCTACTCTGTTCGTCTTTTGTGTCTGCAATTTGCCATATGACATGTGTCCTTCATAGTATAGCCACCATGTAGCAAGTGATTGTCTTTATTAGGCACGTAGCTATATCACTAAGCACGGTAGTACTTAGTATACAAGTGAATAAAAATTCTTCCATTAAAAAAGTGTGGAATATAGGGATGCCATAAAAAGCAAGGAGACAAGACAGGGATGACCTAGTGCATGTGATGAATTAGTACAATGGGATGATGGTTACATCTTCAAACTGACATCGCTTACTCGTGTAAATTTTACTTCACACCAGCCCTATATTGTCGCAAAGCACGAGTGATCTCTACCGTATGATTTGCAGCTATGACTTGTTTCCTATGCACGTAAGGACAGGTCCTCAGTTTTGAATCGTGACAGTATTTACTTCATGTTCTCTCAACTAACAATGCTGCTTTCTCTACAGAATTTGTTTACCAGTCTTCACACTACATTATTCAAAATTCATGTGATGAGTAAGAGTGGTGACAGTATAGGGCTTGTTTGGAGTAAAATTTACACGAGTAAGCGATGTCAGTTTGAAGATGCAACCATCATCCCATTGTACTAATTCATCAAATGCACTAGGTCATCCCTGCCTTGTATCCTTGCTTTTATGGCATCCCTAAATTCCACCCTTTTTTATTCGAAGAATTTATTTACTTTTCTCCTTTACTTTTATTTACTGCATTCATAAGCATGGTGTAGCAATATTTTTGGGCATAAGCCCATAAATAAAGTAACATTAGTGGCCTTAAGATATCGCCTCAGGCGTTTTGTCGTCATTCACATTACATCAGTGCACCAAGTTTCATTGTGAGAGGACCCATCATAAGCAAGTTATAGGCACTGACACCATTTAAAAGTCTTTTTTTGCCTGAGGCTTTTGTTGTTGTTTACAACCTTGTAATTTCTGTTTTGATGAACTCTTTATCATGGTGAATCAGTGTACCAAGTTTCATTGTTAAAGGACCAACCACAAGTACTTAATTGAAGGCACAAACACCATTAACGAGTGTTTATTGCCTGAGGCTGCTTGTTGTTGTTTACAAGCTTGTAATTTCTGTTTCAATGAACTCTTGATGTAAATTAGTGACCAAGTTTCATTGGTAGAGGACCCGCAATAAGCAAGTTAGAGGTGCAAGCATCATTTGCAAGTTTTTATTGCCTGAGGCTGTTTGTTGTTGTTTATACACTTGTAATTTCTGTTTCAATGAACTCTTGTCATGGTAAATTAGTTAACCAAGTTTCATTGGTAGAGGACCCACAATAAGCAAGTTATAGGCACAAAATTAATACATTTTACAAGTTTTTATTGCCTGAGGCTGTTGGTGTTGTTTACAAACTTGTAACGTTTACATTACGATACTAATGATGGGTTTCATGTGTGTACAAAGTTCTATCATTCTGGGTATTTGCTCTACCTAGCACACTTTATTGGTCTCTATCATAATGTATTGCCTGGGCTATATTTTGTTTACATGTAAACAACATTGTTTACAAACAAATTAAAATGCTCTAGCACGCCGGGTCACGGATTCCAATCTTTGTGAAAAGTTTAATCTCCATATCACTAAGTACGGTAGTACTTAGTATATACATGGTACCTAGCATCATAGATGTATGGGGCTATGATAGTTTTGTTCATCTTCTTCTTCTTCCTGTTCAACCAGCATAACTCAAACCGAAAGAGATAAAGCCATGAAATTTTGTAGGAATGTACATATCGATAACCACATGTGCAACGTTATACTTTCTTTGGTAAACAATGTTGTTTACTGTAAGCAACAACAAAACTGCCCCAGGCAATACATTATAATGGGCAATACGTTATAATGGGAATACTACATGTGTCAGT